CGACGACCACCCGTCACCCCTTTTAGGAAAAAGTCTTTGAGTGTGAAATTAAATTCTCGATTTAAAATCACACACAATTTGGATTTGTTTTTATAACAAAAGAATTATTTCTCAATTCATTTTTACATCACATGCACGCAAACACGCACCCACCCACGCACACGCACGCACCCATTTAAATATAAATAAAATGAAGGCAAATTATAGTCGTTGCGTAGTCGTACAAATCCATTATTATTGTTGTTAATCAAATATTACTATTATCATCGTCATCATCGTAACCATCATTATTATTATTATTTTGAATGAATTTTACCTTGGGAAATCTAATAATAAAAAAAAAAACTTTTCATTGGTTTATTGATAAAAAAAAAAAAAAAAAAAAAAATTTTAAACGAGCCGCCACTGAATACCGTAAAAAAAAAATTTACATTTAATAATAATTATTCAATTGTCGATAGTTGTTGTCGTCAATTGTAAACAAGATAGTAGTTTACGTATATGTGGTTATTATTGTTTTTGTTTTTGTTTTTTTTTTCTCAATTGATAATAATAATAATAAAGTAAGAAAAAGGTAAAAATGAATTTTTTATCATCGAGACGCGGGATAAGAATTATTATTATCAATATTTTTTCGTTATTTTTTTTAATAAAATATATAGAAAATGTAAATTCAGAATCGCCATTGTTATTAACTCCATATATTAGATCGGGAAAAATAGAAAAAGGTCGTAAACTTTCTCTTGTAGAAAATTTAATGAAAAATACAACAAGTTATTCGGGTTTTATAACGGTTGAAAAAAAATGTAATTCGAATATATGGTTTTGGTTTTTCCCATCGAAAAGTGATAGAAAAAGTGATCCCATCACGGTTTGGTTAAATGGTAGTCCGGGATTATCATCCATGTTTGGTTTATTTATTGAAAACGGTCCATATTTTATAACAAAAAAAAAAGAATTGAAATCAAGAATATATTCTTGGAACATGCACAGTTCAATTATTTATGTTGACGTACCCCTGGGAACCGGATTTAGTTTTTCCGATCGTCGTCATCATCATCATCATCCTTCCAAATGTTATTCAAAAACTCAAAGTCAAACATCAAAATATTTTATACGTTTTTTAAATCAATTTTTCATTTTATTTCCCGAATATAAAAATAATCCTTTTTATATATTTGGTGAATCTTACGGTGGTAAATATGTGACCGGTATCGGTTATTATTTGTTAAAAAGTAACACAACCCTTAGATTCGATGGTATCGGAATCGGTAGCGGAATATTAGATCCGAGAAATCAACAATTGCATGCCAATTATCTTTATCAATTAGGTATAATTGATAAGAACGCGAGGAAGGACATGTTGAAAAAGGAAAAATTATTTAGAGAATTAATCGATGGGAAAAAATTTACGGATGCATTTTATTTTAAAAAAAATTTAACGATAGAATATGAATTATTAACCGGATATAAAAATTTAAATAATTATTTGGATTGTAATTACGATAAAATTTACTACTACGGTGATTACGAAAATTTTTTAAATGATAACGAAGTGAGAAAAGGTTTGCACGTGGGAAACGTAACACGTAACACGGATGTTAACATAACGGAAACGATCGCACGAGATATGATGAAATCCGTTAAAAAATGGCTCGAATACGTGATCGAAAGAAAAAGGACGCTTTTATATTTTGGACAAATGGATTTGATATCATCGTATTCGGGCGCAATGAATTTTATTAAAAAATTAAATTGGACGAGATCTTCAAAATTTCATAATTCTCAAAGGAAATACTGGAGAATCAATGGAAAATTAGCCGGATTCATAAAAACTGATAACATGTTTACGGAAGTTATGATAAGAAATGCCGGACATAGAATTTCCGTCGATCAACCCTATTGGACATTTAATTTATATAATAAATTTATTTTTCGTAATATTTAAAACTTTTTTTTTTGTAATTTTTTTTTTTTAAATCTTCTGCCACGTTTTTTCCTCCACTCCTCTCCCCCTTCCCCTCTCCCTCTTCCTCCACGTTCGAAAAAAAAAATTCATCATCGATTATTGTTTCTTATGTTTAACGTTAAAAGTTTTTTTATTTTTTATTTTTATCTGAAAATAATAATAATAATAGGAAAAATTTTTTTTGGAAAATGAAGAAATTTTTTTTTTTTTTTTTTGAGAAAATGAAAACTTTTTTTTTTTTTTTTTCATTTATAAAAAAAAAAGTTTAAAAGGGCGAGACATTGTAAGGCAGTTGTTGACAGCTGTCCCCCCAATAAACCAAAAAGATTGAATCAGTTTTGATAATTCAAGTAATTTGATTACATCGAAAAAAAAAAAAAACGACGAAAAACGACGAAAATGACGTCGATGATGATGATGATAATGATAATAATAATGATAATAAAAATAAAATTGTGGTCACATTACAACAACGTTTGAGAAGAAGAAAAAAAAAACGTTGATTGCTTAACCAAGCATCTTCTCAAGAATTTTCTTTTTTTTTCGATAAATGCAATTTCGATAATCCCTTTGAGGGTTGTTTTCACGACACCATTTCCAAGGGTTTTCTTTTGTTTTTTTCGGTTTTTTTTTTATTGTTTTTTTTTTTTTTTTTGTTTGTTTTTGAGGTTGTGTGAGTGAGTGAGAAGGGGGGATGAAGAGGAAGGGTCGGAGGAAAAAAGAGATGAAATAAAGGAAAATAGGAAAATTGTGTGATATAAAAAAAAAAAAAATTTTATTCAAAAAAAAAAATTTTCCCCACAAATTTTTATTTTATTTCTTTTGTTTTTTTTTTTTCGGTACGAAGTTTGTAAACTTTTTCTCTTCTTTTATTCATTCAAATTATTTATTTATTTTATTTTTTTAATAAAAATAAACACAATAAATAAATAAATAAATATTTTAAATGAAAAAATTTTCTTTTTTTTTACTACTTAAATAATGATCGATGATAAATAATAAGTTTTTTTTTTTTAATTCATTCTTTTATTATTATTATCATCATCAAAGTCATTGTTATCATTATCATTATCATTGTTATTATCGATTGTATTTAAATAAATAAATAAATAAAAAATTGTCACATTTAAATCCCTCGTGGGTATTTTTTTTTGTTGTATTTTTTGGAAAAAAAAAAAAAAAAAAAAACGATGAAAAGAAAAATGTTTTAAAAACAGAGAAAAAGTCTAGGGGAAAAAAACCCGAGAAAAACAACAAACGCGACAACGACAACGACAACAACAACAGCAGAAACAGCAGAAGCAACAACAACAACAACAACAACAGCAACGCCAGCAACAACAACAACAACAACAAAATACAAAGATATTTACTTTAGAATTTGAAAATTGCCTTTAGTGAAATTTTTTCTTTTTTTTTTTTCTTTCGGGAGGGGTGGGAGTGTGGAGGGTAGTAAGGGATGTGGGTAGCGGGGAGAGGGGAAAGGGGGGAAAGAAAAAAACGAAGAAAAAAAAAAAGTTAAATTTATTTGAAAAGTTGAATAGACTAAAACAAGTTTTCGTTTTCGTTTTCTTTTTATTTTTTCCTACGTTTATAAAAGTCGCCTTTTTCAGCCTTTTTTCTCCTACTATTCCCTTCATGCTTTTTGCCTTTTTTTCTTTCTTCTTCTTCCTTTTTTTCTTCTTTATTTTTTTTTTCAAACGTGTACAAATAAGTTATCTTTCTTTTTTTTTTATAAAAAAAACTTTTTTACATTTTTTTTTTTTTTACGCTTTTCAAATAGTAAAAGAAAAGTGACTGAACAACTTTTGATGCGAAAGCGATCTTTTTAAAATTTCAAAATGATTTTTTTCTTCCCCCAAATTTTTTTTTAATTTTTTATTTTAATAATAATAATAATAATAAT